CTTTCCCTGTTTTGCTCCACAGTAAGGCTTTGTCCTTCTCTCCAGAAACGTTCATCCTCAGAGATGGTCCAGGGAAAAATGAGCCCTTTGTATTCATTATTTGTAATTACCTCTACACCAAGTTCATGCTGTGCTGGATCCAAACACTGTAGAGTTTCATAATGGCTCACTTCTGCCCCTCAGATGGGAGAAATCTGGCAGGATTCGGTCACCATCAAATCCTCCCCCAGATTCTGCCTGACCCTAATCCCGAACTCATGACTTTAGCTGAACACAACATGGGGTCTGGATCCAAATACCAATGCATCAGCTCCTGTCTAATTGGACATTGGCCCATTAGGCATTAGAGATAGGGAAAAACCATGTAGGATTTATTAAAAACGATGCAGACACACAAAGAGCAGAACAAAATCTTTAACCAGAAGCGATAAGAAAGCCCTAAAGGATTTGAGTTTAGATAAGTATCCCTCCTCGAGTCCTCCAGCTCTTTAAAAGCTATTTGGACTGGAGTTTTCCTGTGGTGTTATAGGTGCTTACTTAAGCAGCGGATGAGATTAATTCTTCTCTGGTTATTTTGGCACTCCTGCACCTGGGGTCTGCTGGGGAGCAGCGCAATCCTCGATAAGTTTGCAATGATTATTTGAGTAGCTGTCACAAACAAGTGAAGTCTTTGAACAATATAAAATATATTAAAAAACCAATAAATATAAAACCCAATATAAAAGACAAAATTAGAAGCTCCTGAGCTAACACAGCATTAACTACACTTCCTTTGTGTTTGTCTAGCACAATTTGATTTTGACTATCTACTCCAAAATAAAATATTTTTTAGAATTATAATATGAAGCCACCACGAAGCAATCTCAAGCATCAGAGTAGTGAAATGCCTATTTTTAAAACCCTGCTTTTCTTACAAACATTATTTACGGCCTTGGATGTGATTTTGGAGAAGAAAATGATACACTGATGAAAAGTAGCTGGCTGCTGGCAACGCTATGTCTATGCCAAAGGGAAGGGTCGCTACCTCATTAAAATTAAACCTCTTCCAAATGAAAACAGCAATACATTTACCAAGTGGGTATGTAAACCAGCACATAGCTCGCTCTCCTGTACAAATGCAAGCAAAGAACTTCATACATTAACCCCACGGCTCCCGGCTGAGCTACAAGTTCTCATTTTATGAAAATATCTTGATCAAAAGCCTCAAAAAATGTCACATCCCATAATTTGCTGAGTAGAGTTGTGCCTATCGCCTGTCCTCCTCGCTGTGGGGCCAAGGGTATGAGTGAAGGTATCACACCCTTCTGTTACTGGAGCAGAGTTTTTGAGGCATCTCCTGCATGCAGAAGTTTAGAAGCATACAAGGCACTGCTGATCCAGAGATAAATGGTGGAAAAGGGATTAGAGATACTTAGCAGAAGAGAGGGAAGACTCAGGAAGGGCTGATTATTTTAAAGATATGACTATTTAAAGATAATGATTGCATAAATTTAATTAATGCATTTTCATGCTGCAAATGGCCGTTTTGTAATTAATGTATCTGGCCTCGCTAAGCATGGGAGATCACATCTCCCAGTCCCCCCTCCCTTCTCCATTCCCCCCTCCGCCTCTCGTTTAATGAAAGACAGAAAGCAGATGACAGAAACAATTTGTCAGCCAGTACGGGTGTCAGATGCCTAATTGGTTGCGCTGAGTTAGTGGAAAGTAAAGGGGGAGAGGGTCGAGGCTGGGGGGGCTCTTTCCTCTTTATCCGAGGCTTCAGGGTGGGTGTTTGCACTGGTGGAGGGGGAGCGAGGGGGCGAAAGTGTTTCTTGTTAATTGATGGAGATTAGGACGCAGATTGGCTGTGGCAGGGACTGGGCAGTGACAAGAAGGGGACAGGAGAGGCTGGTTAACACCCGTGCAAACAAGCTGCCATATCTCACAATATGTTAAGTCCCAGCAGCGTTGACAACGTCAATGGTTATCTCCTGTGCTCCCCGCTCCTGCTGCACCCCGGTATCCCCGGTCACAACTGCCGGGGGAAGAGCTTAGTGCACAGATCTGCGGCCCTGGGCACAGCTCTGCCCGGTTTGGTTTGCACCCTCCGGCTTAGAGAGGAATCAGGACCTTGGCAGAAAGTTTAGGACCCTGGGGAAGGTCCTGCATGGGAGGGTGCAGGGCTGAGGCCATGAGCAAAGCAGAAAGACTGAAGTCCAAAACCAAGACCTCGGGTTTACTTGCTCTAAGCCTTGCCCTGGGTTCAGTCCAGTGCATCAGTATTAGCATCTAAGAGACCCTCAGGAAATCTGTGTCCTGTCTCCTCCCGTCCCTGCCCTACTGCAAGACTGTCTTAAAAACTGCAAGATTAAGCAAAACTAGAGTTAATGCATGTACCAGCTGGTGCCTGAGCTTTGTGGATGCATTTGGGTCACTGGTAATAAAGCCCCCATCTGATTAATTCTCCCCTGGTCATTATGTGGAGAAAGAAAACCTCCTGGCCA